ACATTAAATAATCAGTTCATTCATTTCTTATGGCTCTATCTGCAGCTTTTCCAGTCATTTCTTATGATTACATTTTCCCACAGGCCAACAACAGCTTCAAGAAAACTATTTCCCTCAAAGAGAAACCAAACATGCCCTGTTGTCGTGAGAGAGAAAGTCCAGAAGGAAGCATCCATTAAACTCAGTGTGCTGCTCTGTGATGCTAGCTCAGATACTTGGCATCTCATCTTGGGTGCAAGGTCATCAATGTTTGGGCTCAGGCTCTGAGCTGAGGAGACCCTCAGGATGGAGTGAAGGTGTGCGTGCAATATACCGGCGGGCCAGATCTAATAGGAATTAGAAATTATCCTGAGGACCGAAATTAAATCCACCACGGCCCTGATTTGGCCCCCGGGCCTCGAGTTTGACACATGTGATCTAAAGGCACAGCTATGTGGTGACTTTAACCTTTAAATCTAGCTTCATGGTGTGTTTTAAGAGGAAGTGGAGTTTTCTAGCAATGTGATTACAAACAGACATGAGTTGGAGTTTCTTTGGTAAGAAGTTTGCATGCCGCTAGAGTCTATCAGCATTGGGATTCTGTTGTTAAATCAGAAATTACAAATGATTCTGCGGTCAAACTATTGACTAATGATACTTGCATATTCAGCAGAAGGCTCATTTTTCATCCTCAGATTGTTTGTAGTTAATTTAAATAATGTCTAGAGGGGAAATATTCTTAAAACTAAAGCAAATATTAAAGAAAAGACCCAAAAATAGTTTGTTCTTTTATTATTACCTACCCCAAGAATCATTTTGTGACCTCTGGATTATCATCAGTAAAATTTGATTTACGACATCATGTGCAACATATTGGACATTATCATGGACAACCTGTACTTGAGTTTAAATATTGTACATATTTATGTTTGGTAACCATCACAAATTATTCTAACTTTGGCATAGAGTATATTTTGGATTCGCAACTATATTTATACTTTCTAATGTATACATTTGCACTTTTCTTGTTGTCGGTCCTTACTTCACGTTGGAAACTATCTGTGAACTGAAAGAGCGTTTAAAGGGTCCTATTACCCTCACTTCTAAGGCCTTTAGAAAAGCATAATAGGGCCTCTTTAAAATAAGTAGTTTTTCTCACCTTTCATGTTTTTATATCTCTTGTACCAACGAGCAAACTCCTGGCATTTGGCGGTGGAGACGTTGGCGTAGTAGGAATTGTTCACGATGGAGGAAATCATACTCTGAGAGACAGAGAGGGCGAAGATAATTAATAACCAGTATAATATTAAATGCTTACACTCACGCAACAACCTCATGGCTCACATAAACACACACACACACACACACACACAAGAAATAGACAAACATGAATCATGATTTGAAGCCACCCATGGAAACTGGAGTCAGTGCAGAGAGGGAATCTCCACACACACACACACACACACACACACACACACACACACACACACACACACACACACACACACACATGCTTACAATTGAAGCTGCGATCAACACCAGAGCTGCATTTAAACACAGTACACACACACACACACACACACACACATAAATCTGACACAGCAGCATAGAGGGCTGAACATGCAGCTGGGGAGTTGAACATAATTGAGGAGACACTGCTTCATTCTGTGGGGTGGAGTTTGATTAAAATGTAGCAATAAGCAATGTAGGATTAATTTGAAATGTTTTTCTCATGAGAGCTGACTTTAGTCATTAGTCGGGACATGTGTTGGTCTAATCAGTGAGAGAGATGTTTCAAATCAAGACTAAATAAAACTTATAAGAGAACATTTTAATATAAGCAAGAGGGACACTGTATTACAACTCACATATGTCTGACATTAAATAGCTTAAATGTCCCTTTAAATTATGTATTTTTAACTAAAGAGTTTAGTTTCGATTTAATTCAACAGTTCCTGGTTGACTTTGAACAACTTATTAATAAACTTGTATTATGAACATTATTCTCAAGAGTAGATATAAAGGGTTATTGATTGGACAAGCACTTCTCTTAGTTGAGGTTTCGGTTTCTGTTGTTGTTGTTGTTGTTGTTGTTGTTGTTGTTGTTGTTACCTGTGACAGCGGACACTCTTTGGCCAGAGTGCTTTGGTTCATCTCCCTCAGCAGATCTTTGAGAGCGTTCCTCACCGTCGTGTGGTTCCACTGTTCAGAGGGGAGGTCCTCCATCTTTGAAAAACTGAAACAAAAAACACACACACCGAAGTCAGACAAGTTTTAAATAAACAAATAGAGAAACAACAGCACTAAACATCAACACAAAAACAACAGTGACAATTAAAGGAAGAGTTTGATATTGTGGGCATTGCGCTTTCACTTTTTCTGAGAGATTTATATGAAAAGATATCTACAAATCTTGTGTGTTTGGAGTTTTTATGGCGGTTCGGAGAGCCACAAACCTGTTAGCTTAGCTTAGCATTAGAACAGGAAACAGCTTAGATTATCTAAAGGAAGCGAAATAAATCAAAAGAACAATTAAATCCCAAATAATTAAAATAATTTACAATAACTTTTCTATTTTACTATCCTATAATGTATCATCTTTTTAACAATCAAACACATATTAAAAGAAATAGTATGTAGTAGTTTGAAGATTAGGTTTAAAGTGTTTTTAGATTGATTTTGTTCCTTGAAACAGAGCCAGGCAAGCAGTTCCCCCCTGTTTCAAGTCTTTATGCTAAGCTAAGCTAACTACAGTACAGACACCAGAGTGACATCCATGTTCTCATTAAACGTTTCCTTTAATCCTAAATGAACCCCGAATGAAGCCCTAACCCCTCTGACCTCACACACATCCTGTATTAACCTCAAACCCTCCACTTCCTGTATCTCCCCACAATCTCCCTGTTTTATATTTTAACCTCAAAATGAATCATTTCTACTCTTGAGCACAAAGTGTGCCAGACCTCATCCATCGCCATGGATACGCACACACAAACATGTAAACAAACCTGGCTGGTATGTTCCAGGACAATAACGATAAAACTCCTCTCATCTGGAGTTTATCTGGCTTTTATCTGTCCATCAGGACCCGGCTTCACTCTTTGTTTTCCTGGCACGCGGACTCTCGCAGATAATAGATAAATCCCCAGCGGGTTGTTTACAGTTTCAATATCGCCGCTTTGCAAATTTGATAGATATGGTAAATTCTTAAACTGCAATCAGCTGCAATGACATCAGTCGCCCAGCGGACCGAGAGTCTGAATCAGTGAGAGGTTTCCACAGGTTCACAATTCAATGTTACTTTCTAGTAGGGCTGCTGGATTATGGCAAAAATCATAATCTCGATTATTTGGGTCAATAATTGATATCACGATTATTAAAAACGATTATCCATTGACTTTGAATACATGAATTTATTGGAGAAAAAAAATTTGAACAGTATGTTTTTAACAGTTGATTACCCTGAACTTTAAGTATAATTCAACTGAAAAACCAATAAAAAAAATAAAAATTTAATAATTTAAAAAAAATCGTTTTATTTCGATTACGTTGTTTTTGTAATCGTTGCAAGCCATCATCGTAATCGCGATTAAAATACGATTAATTGAGCAGCCCTACTTTCTAGTTTATCCTATACTGAAATCTGAAGCTACACGAGTTATCGACATTTTGTCGGAATCACAAATCAGGCTGGTGCAATATTCATATAACAGCCAAAGTATGTGTAAATATTATTCAGAATTCACTCTTTGTTAACTTCTATGTCTATGAGTTGTGAAGAGATTAACCTAAGTGACTTTCACACTGCAAAAAATATCAAAAATGTACCCCCAAAAACAATCAATATTAGTTGTTGTAGTCATTTTTAGATGTATTATTGTGTTCGAGCTACATTCAAATTGCGACATTGGCTAATGCAATTTTTGTTTACAGAAAGATGTGTGTAAATATTATTCTGAATTGTCGGGTTGCAGAGATTTCCCGTCATACTAATTGTACTCTACCCGCTTAAATATCTTTGTTTGGCACAGATCCTCTTATATCTACGTTCATATATATGCATGATTGTGTGAGTTGGCATGACATAATATACGTGATGAAACGGTTTCTTCATCAACTACTCTAGTTTATATATTTTATTTGCAAGTATAACTTTTTTTTCTGGGAAAAATGTAATATGATGAAACACACTGACATGTTAAAGGTCCGGTATTTAAACCCTTACACCCTAAACAAGTAACAATTAAAATATATGTTTTTTAAAAAGCCTTTAGAATACATCTTTCAATCAGTCCAACCCCTGTTAACCATTTCTCAAAAGCAACATCAGTCAACATATTCACACTTATTTCCAAACCGTGCAGCCGTACTGAAACCTACAGAATGATTCTAGATGTGAATGTGTGTGTAGGGGAGATATGAGCACTCACTCTGACCTCTGCAGCTGGATGCGCAGAGTGACCATGTGATAAACCTCCATCAGCATGTCGGCCACCGTGGCTTCAGGAGCGTCCGTCAGGAAGTGGATCGGCATCGGGTTCCAGCGGCCCACCTTTATGATGCCTGGACAAGAAACATGGACACATTCAGTCATTGTGAGGTTTTATGTATATTAACATTTTGACATTATATGAAAAAGCAGTAACGAAATTCATCACCACTTTTATGATTTTTTAATCGTCAATGCAATTGCCAGAAGTAAAAAGTTAACATTAGACTATAAAGGAACTACAGCACGGTCACATGACTTCAAGTCACAACCGCTAAGCTAAAGGAGGCTAATGTTGGGCTATAAAGGAACTACAGCACGGTCACATGACTTCACGTCACCACCGCTAAGCTAAAGGAGGCTAATGTTGGGCTATAAAGGAACTACAGCACGGTCACATGACTTCACGTCACCACCGCTAA